GTAATGTAATGTAATGTAATGTAGTGCAATGCATGCATGCATGCATGCATGCATGCATGTGTGTATGTATGGATATATATATATATATATATATACATACATACATACATACATACATACATACATACATACATACATGGTACCATATATGGGTTATGGGTGTTACAGCGCAGAAATGGGTTTGGGTTATGGACTGCCTGTGTAACTTTATAGGGACTATGAGACAAAGTCATCATGCTGACTGCTCAGACCTCTATATCAATCCGTCGTTCTGAGACGAGGGCAGCTGTGCGGACTCTTCCCTTCTTGGCAATGCTGATGATGCTGATGGTGGCGGTGGTGATGATGGTGACGACGACGATGATGATGAGGATGATGAGGAGGATGAGGAGGATGAGGAGGATGAGGATGAGGACAAGGACGAGGATGAGGACGAGGATGAGGACGAGGACGAGGACGAGGACGAGTACATGCGGCCAACTTCACGAGTACAATGGATACGATCACAGCCTTAGCTAATCTGACTCGACTGGAACCTTGCAGCAAGTCACATGTTCCCACCCAGGCTTGGAGGTTCGGGTCATGGACAGACCTAAACCTAGGTCCTACAGGCCACTCCCCAGAACCCTGCAACTTGGTGCACGACGGAGCCCTTGGGGCCATAGACAATTGAGAACGACAGGTGCTCGAGCATGGGAAGGCCTGCTTGGCGCTACAAGTTGAAGCCTCGCTGGCCTTGAGATTCGGACGTGGGTCGGTTTCGAGTATGTGTCGGCTTCAGACGCGCTGCCCTTCTATTTCTAGGCCCAAGAACTTCGAAGAACTCATGTCGGGCTGGCGGTAGTGCAGGAACACCGGCGTTTGCTGCCCCAGCTTGATCTCGACCACCTGCATTTGATTTCCGTTTTTGATGAGTACTACTAGATATTCCCTGAGCCACGAGTTGGGGTTCCGAAGTGAAGGAATTGCCCTGGACCCGATGGTTCCTTGTCTGCCTTGCTGCGGCTGCCTTACCATTGCTTAACAAGATTCAGACCTAATGAGGCTTGGAGCAGAGCTTTCGGGCGTGGAGGACTACGAGGTCAAAGGCTTTGTTTAGTAACTGTCGGGATGCTGAAGGCAAGCCGGATACGGCTCCGATCTCGATGTCTCCCATGTGCCACAGGCTGGAAGAAAAAAGACATCCCCCAAGCATTTAATCTCGAAGTGCCCACTCTAACTGCTGGACAGAGACAACTGAAACTATTCATCCCCAAACCACAGATAAACTATATTTTGTGTCAGCTTGTCTTACTAAGCAGATGCATGGCCTCCTCTAGGTTCACCATAGAGTCCTCCTTCCTGGCATGTATGCAAGCAAGGGACACCACTTTGATGAGTTGCTGTTTCAAAACCAACACCCCATACTCTGTCTTCTGAACCCTAAGCCGTAGGCTTGAGGATGCTAGCTTTGCACTTGAAACTCGGTGCGAAAGTCCACGAATCTTCACGAAGGCAGTTTTGGATTCCTGTCTTGGGTTTTACGGTGTTGTTCATCAGGGCCGATAAACTCTGGCACTGCGGTTGTGCAGAGGTCGGAATTCCACCGGGCACGGAAGTTTACTTCAGGAAGGTGCTTTGAAAAAATCAGACGACACATCTGCGGCAGAAAATAGTTTCCTGCATGCTGGACCAAATTGGTCCCATGCCGCGCGAGAATCGAACCCTGGCTGTGCCCTGCACAAGCCTGAAGAAGTAGTTGACATCCCGAGAGACATGCACCAATACCCAACATGGTATTCTTCTTCGCCTCGGGCCTTGTCACCTTCTTCTTCCGCACTATCAAACATCATTGCATCATCACCAACACCACCATCATTGCATCATCGGAGATAAATCCAAGCGGTTGGAATGATAACCTGCAGGCACACTCCCTGGCTCTCTATCTCACATCAGCACAAGTCAACTGGCTACAGCTACCGCAGGGAGACGTCTGCATAGTTATAGAGTCCAGACTTCCTGGGTCAGAGGACTCCTAACGAGGACACTACTGACTTCACAAATGTTAGCAACAGTTGCAATGCTGATCGGTTGCTGTTTGGTTTGGCCCGGGGAACAAACACATGATAACCGCAGCACGACCCTCGGCCCTGCCTCTTGGCCCCGGAGTACCAAATGAGGCGGCGTTTGTCGTCGCTCAACTGCGCAGCCAGCCAGATTCTTGCGATGTTTGATATTGCCGGGATCGTCGATCGGCTTCGCTCTTTGGGGGGATGGGCCCTCCCCGGCGTATGCAGGCCCTTGCAACTCCACCATCCCACAGTCGAAAAATGCCGATGCCCAAGCTAGCACGTAAGACCACTGTGACCCACATGAAGATCCCTAGGGTTGTAGAGGCTTGAATTTTGATCCCAGCCGATATTCCACAGCCGTCGCGCGACTAACTGTCTGCTCTTGGAGTACCATTTAAGGAACTGGCGGCGAAGCCCTCGTTTCCAGGGGTGCTAGAACAAACATCACCCGGAAATGTCAGTAAACACTGCAGGACAGGCACAACATCGAGCAGAAAGCGGTCCGCCACGGGCGTGCTTCAAGCCCGCCGTGATCTCCACATTGAGAAACTGGCAGCAGATGCTGGTCTTACATCCTGTACCGCAGACTCCTAAGCTCTAAACCGTAAATCACACACTCTTCAGCTAAACCCTTTGTCAGCGATCTTTCGAGTCAGTCCTGCTTCTTCGTCTCTGCAGTTGCCCAATACACAGGCTCCTGCTTGTAGTCAAAGGGGCCACATTTGCGCCACCAGTGATAACGCAGCAGCTTCCACAAGAAGTCTGGGACAAAAACGTCAGCTTCTGGGCTGGCTGGCGTACCAAGCGCTTCTTCCGGGAACATGCGAACGGGGCCGGCGTACTCCTTGCAGCGCTCGTCCAAGAAATCCGTGAAAACACCCACAAAGCCCAAGAAGTCCACCGTGTTGTAAAGCGGCACGCTGCAGCAACTTGCATAGAATCGATGCATGTAGATTTGTCCTTTGGCATTGGGTTTTGCAGCCTTCCTTGCCAGCTTGATGAGATCTTGTCCTTGCGTTATCTTGAGAGAGCTCTTGCAAACTTGCACCACACGATTGTCTCCCAGTTCCCCGATGGTAGTCTCGTCTTGATTTCCGAGGGATGCAATGAATGTGGCATACTCTCGACAGTCAGCACAATAGCAGTTAATGCGAATTGAGTCCTGACAGATTGCGGATACTTCACCCTGAATCTTCCCACATCGGCATGACAGCTTGGAGGTTATCACAGGGCACCAGCGTCGCCGAAGAGCTCTCAAGGCTAGCATGGTGACGACGGTAGCTGCTCCGACCACTGCCACGGATGACATTCCATGGTTGGTGAACATTGCTCACGCTCGAACAACCTTTCAACCTTACCGTATACAGTAGCTAGCTGAGCCCTGCCCCCACGGTGGACAAAAACGAATGCGTAACATTCCGAACTCCCATCTGTCAGACGATCTCGCACAAGAAATGGCTCCAATCCCCCGGTGATTGGTGATTGATTGACGCTCTTCATGTGTCGAACGGCCCTCAGCACCCGCAACCGGCAAGGCCGACAAACATCTTCAAAGATCCGGGCCGGGATGCCTGGAACTGGCGCAGGTGCGGGAAACCGTAGTGCGTGTGCTTCCTGAGATCACGAAGCTCCGGCTCCGCGAGTTTCTAGCGAAGTCTGATGCCAGGGCTTGAAGAGCCTCTGTACTTCGGCACAAGCAAATGCAGAAGTCGAAACCCCGGACTTGTCTTCCCAGGGACAGAAGATTCGCTCCACGGCGCATGCGATCGATGGCCTGGCTTGGTGTTCGCGGGTCTTCAGACTTGGGGCTGCGCGGTTCTGGTGGTGTCAGGCCCGAGATCCACTCAAAGTAGACTATCCCGTCTTCCGTAGCTCGGACACGCGGCTGCTTCTTCTCATGATTGCTAGTATCAGTTTGATGTCATCGCGTTTGCTATTGACACCATGCCGACAGTGTCTTTTACAAGACTTCCATGCTTCTTCAACTACCCAGGGCTAGAGCCTAGACTCGCTGTGGGTCCCAGGCTGAAGCTGCAGACCTGCCCGTGTAGTGAAATCCGAGTACTCCTTTGGGGGCTACGGGGCTAAGATGGGACTGCCTTCTGCCAGTGACTGCACGAATTCGACAAAGTACGACCTTGACATGCCCTGCACCCTGAAGTACGGAGTTGGAACTTAGCAGGTTCAATGCCACTTTTCGACAACCTAGAAAGGATCGTCATCTTGCGGACTCAAAGCCGCGAAGCTTCCGTTCTCCGTGGCTTGCTGGCCTTCACAGCCTCCACGTGTAGCATCGGATCGATCTGCACCTTCAGCTGACCGAGCACGGCTTCAGCGCATCTTTGCAATCTGACGATGCTGAAGGCAAGTCAAGCTATTGGATGTGTCAAACGGACGGGCAAGCCGTGGTATGTGGCTACTAAGTGTGTCTGGCTCGGGGTGAGGAGCAGCGGGTTTTTGGTTCAGGATGACGGATATTTTGGTGACGTGAACATACGTCCGTTCTAAACACCCAAACCTCCCAGATTGGACAGGCACCTTGAGGCGGCGGAAGCGGTCACCTTTTGAAAGGCACAGACAATCTCTCCATGAAAACTCAAAGCTTGGAGCATGCCGGCCTCCTTCATGCGAGTGAAAACATGAACCCAAGCCACATTACTGCTGAGTTGAGTTGCCCCTCAGAGCAAACAAACTACTCAGTACTCGCCTGTGATCTTCTTCAGATCCTCACGCTCGCCTGCCGCCTCACACAGTGACGAATGGGGACTTACCCGTTAATTATACTACCAGTGTTGATGTTGCCATTCCTACTACCAGAGTTATCCCTTGCAGCTTCTGGTCCAAGGAGCTTCAACGGATATCTTTCTTGCGATTCACTTATAAGTCTACACGGCACCCGAGACAATGTGTCCAGTGTCAACTAGCTGCCAGATGTCTTATACGCATACAGATATACATACATAAACAACACAATACCTATATCAATATCTATATATATATATACATACAAGAGTTTTGCGATATCTATCTATCTATATATATATATATATATGAATATATATGTGTACATGTATATACATATACATATGTAAACATACACATCATACAAATCATATGCATCATATAAACCATATACATATTATGTATAATATACATATCACACATATTCTACATACACATATACATATGCACATACATACACATAAACGTAAAAATACATACACACGTAACATAGATATACAAATATACATATAAATATACGTATATATGTACGTAGACATATATGCATGCATCTACGTATATACATATATGTAGGTATGTGTATATACATATGTGCATATAAAAATCTACGGATAGATAATATATATATATATATACCCAAGTACAGTCTCGTGCATCTTAATCCGGATTTGAACCACACCTAAAGTATCTAATGCAATACCTCTGCCATGCAAGTATGCATGTATGCACGCATGCATGTATGCATGCATGCATGCATGTGCAAATGTGATGTCTGCATGTACGCATGTATGCATGCATCTATGCATGCACGTGTGTACGTCTATACGTATGTATGTGCGTACACACGTATGTATGTACCTATGTATGCAGTGAGTGTATGCACGCATGCATGTGTTTACGTATGTATGTACCTGTATGCATGCATGTCTGTATACATATATATATATATATATGTGTGTGTGTGTGTGTATTTCAAGTTTCATCATGCACTTACTTATCGAGTCATTTATCTATCTATCTGTGTATTTACTCACTTATCTACGCGATTCATGCATTTAGCTATTAAGTTTTCACTTCTGTGAAGAGTTATCTTAATGTATAGACACAGACACATAGCTATGTACATCTCTACGCATTTTTGGTATTGTATGCATATGTTCTACACACACGTATGTGTGCAACAGGTGAGGGGAGCGCTTTGCCCCACCTCGATGATGTAGGTTTGTCCATTTCGAAGCTGGTCAAACTCTTCGAACTCGAAGACACGGCCGTCCTGCTGAGTGACACGGAGGCTTCTTTTGTTACGGCTGCTACGGATCCAGACACCAGACAGCTAGCACGAGTACTGGGAGCCAGTCCTCTTTTGGCTCAGTCTTCTCTTCTTCGTCTGCAGGCAGGGGGAAGGTGCAGAGCAGCAGAGCACTGCTTGTCCTCCCGCTAGTCCTGCCTCTGAAAAAGCCCAAGCCCCACCAAGCACAACTTGCTCATTGTGTTCATATACAGTTTCCAGGTTGCATTTCATCCTATCCGAAATCCCGGAGCTCGTAAACGCCCGAATTCTCGATGCTAGTGGCAACAGGCTTCGGACTTCAGATTCGGGTGCTACGTTTGCATTAAACCCCTCTCGGCTACCTGAACAGTTCCAAAGTAAGCCATCCTTCTCCGTGGGCCCAGACAACTTGTATCCACAGCGCCCTCAACAGCAAAACGGTCCCTCAACGTCGAAAGACGCCTGAAACATCAAAGCCCAATAACAGGTCGAAGGCCTTCGATCTGCACCTCCCGGAGCACGAAGCCTCAACGGGCGCACTGCTACCAGGCCCGAGCAGAAGGCGATGCGAACCGAGCTGAGCCGAGCTTGGAGAGCTCCGAAGCTCAAGGCTTTCGAACGAACAAACCCTGCCTGACTGAGCCCCAAAGCTTAAAGGCCTCAATGGGCCGAAGGTCACAGGATTACCGACTGGCTGTTGATTACCCTTCAGGAGGAAGCCGCCAGCCTCCGTCCATGATTGCGTCGCAAGCACAAAGGATGGCCTCTGTGCATCGATGAGTGGCTTGAGGTCTATGACAGTCTATGATCTTAAGCTGAAGGCTAAGGGCGGAGTTCAAAACTGACTTACTGGTCTGAGGTCTTGCCGAGTTTTGGACCACCGGTTGGGATGTCCTTGGGTCCACACGGCATTTGAAACGTTCGTCCTTCCACAACCCTCAGCCGAACCTCCGAACGCCAAAGCAGAAACCTATGAATGCCTCCTAACCCTGTATAACCTGCGAAGTCATCCCTAAACCCTGCACTCCCAGACATAAGGCTCCAATATGCTCCAATCCATGGCAACACAAGAGCTGGGATGTTGAAGGCATCTGCCGTGGCCTCCTTGATGTCTATAGGCTGCATGTCCGAGTACCAGCCCACCTGAGTAGGCTGTCTTTTCATGGTCTCTAGCTCATGCTTCTGGGATCCAAACGCCAAAACAATTTGAGGGATGTCAGAGTTTGCTCGTTGGCGGCTTCGGCTGGAAGAGGCAAGCAATGCAATCTGCTCGGGCATACAGCTTTTGACTTTCCACTAAGCATTAGCAGCCTCTTTATGCTTCACGTCATGTTAAAGGGTGGTAGCGAGCCAACCTGCTCTCAGCTACAGTTGGGCACCCTGCACTACCCCACATGGCGACAATGGCTGAGTGAGCTCCCAGCGCAATTCTTCTCGCCCTTGTGGTAAACATAGATCATCTTCTTGTCGGAGTCCTGGCACCAAATATGGAGACAGTCTATCAAGTTGCTTGGCTGTTGCACGCTTCAGTCAAGTTAAGTCTAAGACTCTGAGTACCAAGCCGTGCACCAACTAATTATCCCTGAAACCTAAAAGGGTATTCAGCCACTTCAGTGCAGGACAGGTTCGTCACTACGAGCTTCATCAAGGGATTCACACACCGTTTCAGGACGAGCTTCTGTGGGCTTCACGGTTCACGCATGGGCTCGTGCCCCAAGTTAGGAGGCCCGTACGACAGAATTCTAGCTTCCTTGCATGCGAAGACTTGCGGAAACCCGCACTTGAGAAACTTCCACTTCTCTGCCACATCAGGCGGCGAAGCACCTAGGCCAAATCAGAACACGAAACTCTTCTGAAATCAACTCGAAACTCGTGCACCCCGAACCCAAAACCCCACACTTGAAGCCCTCCACACCCAGCATCCCAAACCATCCGAAAGCCCCAAAGCGTTGCCTCGGTGTCGACAGGCGCCGAGGGCCTCGTCATCGCATCTAGATTACCCCGGGTGCCATCCTCATCACACGCGTCTCAGCAGTCCTTTGTCCCTCGCCCCGATGGGCCAAAGCCGAGGCCGCAGCGCTCCGCCGAGGCCCAGCAGGTCCCCGTCGTTGCCCTTGGCCGCCTGAACAGATGTTCAGCTGGTGTTGAATCCGCAGAATTGGGGCTGGTGTCTGTCTGTGTAAAATCGTGACGGCTCCGAGCCTCTGGCGGACCTTTAAGCCAACTTTAAGCCGAAAACGAATCCTACCACCATAAGCCTTGAAGTCCGGAACTAAAATGTCCTCAGCTCCAAACACATGGCAAGCTCAAGCTCC